AGAACAGCATGTATATTATCTATAGTGAAACAGATCACCAGCCCAGGTGGGATGCATGAGACAAGTGCTCGGGCATGGTGCACTGGGAAGACCCAGAGGAATCGGGTGGAGAGGGAGGTGGGAGGGGGTATCAGGATGGGGAATACATGTAAATCCATGGCTGATTCATGTCAATGTATGACAAAACCCACTGAAATGTTGTGAAGTGATTAGCCTCCAACTAATAAAAATAAATGAAAAAAAAATAAAAATCGCACAGTTGAAATGTGTCAGTTTGGAGACAAAAAGCCAGCTTTCTTGCCTTCCACATTGGGTGCACCCATCCCAAATATTAATACATAAGATGAGCTTTTATCTCAAGTGACAGATGAAGAAAATTATTTGTTTCTGTTAACTATGATGGTATATAAATTTGTGCTTTAATAAAATGGCTTTGAACACAAGTTATTTCAGGAAGTTATGTAACTTTTAAGGTCCCTCCAAGCTCTAAGATGACGAATTTGTAAGAAGAGGTCCTAGGTTGTGTTTTTTCAAAGCAAACAACTTTTTTTTTTAAGTTAATTTTTATTTTTATTTATTTTTTTCCCAATTATTTTTATTAGTTGGAGGCTAATTACTTCACAACATTTCAGTGGGTTTTGTCATACATTGACATGAATCAGCCATGGATTTACATGTGTTCCCCATCCTGAGCCCCCCTCCCACCTCCCTCCCCATCCCATCCCTCTGGGTCATCCCAGTGCACCAGCCCTGAGCACTTGTCTCGTGCATCCAACCTGGACTGGCGATCTGTTTCATACTTGATAAAGCAAGCAACTTTTTATTGAAGTACAGTTAATTCAGTTGTACAGTTAATTAAGTTAAATTCAGTTAATTCAGAAGTACAGTTAGTTTCTGGTATAGTGTAAGCTGATTCAAATATATATCTGCATGTTTTTCAGATTCTTTTCCAAGAAAACTTATTACAAGAAATTAAATGAAGTTCTCTTGTGCCAGGTTGTTTATTATTATACAGTGATTTGTATCAGTTGATCCAAAACTCGTAATTTACCCTTCCGTAATGTGTTTACCCTTTGGCAATCATAAGCTTCTTTTCTATGTCTGTGAATCTGTTTCTGTTTTGTATATAAGCTCATTTCTACTGTTTTTTAGATTCTACATATGAGTGACATCATATAATATTTGTCTTTTTCTGTCTTACTTCACTCATTATGATAATCTCTAGCCCCATTCATGTTGCTGTAAATGACATTATTTTACTCTTTTATGGCTGAGTAGTTTCATGTTTTACATATGTGTGTATCCATCTTCTTTATTTATCTGTTGATGGACATTTAGGTGGTCTCCATGTCTTGGTTTTCATGAATACTGCTGCTTTGAACATAGGGGTGCGTGAATATTTTTGAATTACAGTTTTGTTTGGATATATGCCCAGGAGTGGGATTGCTGGATCACGGGTCAGCTCTAATTTTAGTTTTCTGAGGAACCTCCACACTGTTCTCCATAGTGGCTGCACCAACTCACATTCCTACCACAGTGTAAGAGGGTTCCCTTTTCTCTATGTCTGCTCCAGCGTTTCTTATAGACTTTTTAACGATGAGGAGGCTCCCAACATTTAAACCCTAATGTTCAGCTGCTCGAAGGACTCATTCTGAGTCACAATGATGACATTTAGATACCACCAGTCTACTGTGTGGTGACCTTCTGAGAACCATAACTTCTTTGTGTATAGCTGTTTCCACTTTCCAACATGTCATTTTATTATCATTATAAATCACACTTGTTTTTTAAGGTTTTTAACTTTCAGATTATCATAAATTAAGAACTGGTTTTCTTTGGTCAGAGTTATAACAATCAGTTGCCCATGAAGTCAAATAAAAAGAAATCACAATCAATGAAAAAACACAGTAAATATCTTCATTATTCTTGGCTATACTTTTCCCAGATTGGAATTTCACAATATGACAGAACATTAAGCAAAGTGAAAATATGTATGTCGGCTCACATACAGGGACCTGCCCAGTTTTGCAAGATCAGTTGGCTACTGCTCACATTTTAAGGTCAGTGAAAATCTCAAGTTTCACCGGATTTTAGCTGGAGAGAGTAAACAAAACAATGGAATGAGTGAACTTAATGAGCAACCTTTGAAGGGCAGAGAATGACAGGAACTAGTTTTTACTTATACTGGGTTTTATTCATTCTGCATAACTTGAGTTCATTGTAACTTAATATATAGTATTTAAAAAAAAATCTAAGTATGTTGTCATTTTGGCCTTTTTAAATGCCCTTCTCCCTTTGAAAGTTAGAAAATATCTGGGGCCCACATTAGTTAGCAAATTAATATGGCAGTTTGAAATTGTACATCGTTAAAATGAAAATCTTCTGCTTTGTGAAGGACACCTTTAAAATAATGAAAGAGTAAGCCACTGATTGGGAGAGAACCTTCGTAAGACACATATCTGACAAAGAGCTGGCTTCCAAAACTTACAGAGATCTTTAAATTCTCATCAGTAAGAAACAGTTTCATTAAAAAAAAAAAATGAGCAGAATATCTGAACAGACATTTTACCAAAAAAATAAACATTCGAGGAGATGATCAACACCATATGTCATTTAGGGAACTATAAATTAAAACAACAATGAGATGCCACTACATAACTATTAGAAGTGGCCAGAATCCAAAAAACTGACAACACCAAATGCTGGTGAGGATTCGAAGCCCCAGAAACTCTAATTCACTGATGGCAGTAATACAAAATGGTCCCGCCTCTTTGGAAGGCAGTTTGGCAGTGACTCAAAACTGAACATACTCTTACCATACGTGTGTGTGTGTTCAGTCACTCAGTCGTGGCCAACCCTTTGTGACCCCATGAACTGTAGCCCACCAGGCTCCTCTGTCCATGGAATTTTCCAGGAATTCTGGAAAATTTCCTACTCCAGGGGACCTTCCTGACCCAGGGATCGAATCCCTATCTCCTGCATTGGAAGGCAGATTCTTTACCACTGTGCCACCTAGGAAGCCCACTCTTACCATATGGTTCAGCAATCATGTTCCTTGGTATTTAATTAAAAAGGAGTTGAAAATTTATGTCCACACAAAAACCTGTATGTGGATTTTTACTGCAGCTTTTTTCATGATTACCAGAACTTGGAGGCAACCAAGACATTTTTCACTAGATAATTGTATAAATAAACTGAGGTACATCTAGACAATAGAGTATTATGCAGTTATAACAACTATCTAGCTGCAAAGACATAGAAGGGCCCTAAATGCAGGCATGTATGCATGCTAAGTTTCTTTAGCCGTGTCTGACTCCTTGCAACCCTGTGGACCATAGCCTGGCAGGCTCCTCTGTCCACAGGATTCTCCAGACAAGAACACTGGAGTGGATTGCTATGCCCTCCACCAGGGGAACTTCCTGCCCAGGGATCAAACCCATGTCTCTTGTGTCTCCTGCATTGACAAGCATATTCTATACCACTAGTACCACCTGGGAAGCCCTGAAATGCATACTGCTATGTGAAATAAGCCAGTCTAAAAATACTACATGACTACAACTTTGACATTCTAGAAAAGGAAAAACTATGGAAACACAAGAAGGATCTATGGTTTCTAGGGATTCAAGGGCAGGGAGGGATGAATAGGCAGAATACAGAGGATTTTAGAGCAGTGAAACTCAAGATACTGTAACATGTAGATACATGTTATTCATAATGTATTATTAGACCCATAGAATGTAAAACACAAATGACAACCCTAAGGTAAACTTTGGACTTTAGATAGTAATTATGTGTCAAAAACGCATCAGTTGTAAGAAATGTATCACAGTAATGCAGCATGTTGATAATAGTGGAAACTGTGAGTGAGTGAGTGTGTGTGTATCGTAGTAGGAAGAGGGGGTGGGGTAGATGGAAGTTCTCTGTACTGTCTACTAAATTTTATGTAAACTTAAAAAGGAAGAGAATGAAATGACTTCTGAAGATGCATTATGAATTTTTGAATATTATGCATTATTTCCTTTTAAAAACGACTTTGAAAGTGAAAGTGAAGTTGCTCAGTCGTGTCTGACTCTTTGCAACCCCATGGACGTAGCCCACCAGGCTCCTCCATCCATGGAATTTTCCAGGCAAGAGTACTGGACTGGGTTGCCATTTCCTTCTCAAGGGGATCTTCCCAACCTGGGGATCGAACCCAGGTCTCCTGTATTGTGGGCAGATGCTTTACCGTCTGAGCCACCAGGAAATCCCTAAAATGACTTTACTGAAATATAATCGATATACAAAGAACGGCACATATTTAATATATACAATTTGGTGAGTTTGTTGTTGTTACTGTTCAGTTGTTAAGTCATGTCTGACTGTTTGTGACCCCGTGAACTGCAGCATGCCAGGCTTCTCTGTCCTTCACTATCTCCCAGAGTTTGCTCAAATTCGTGTCCATTGAGTTGGTGATGCTATCTAACCATCTCATCCTCTGTTCCCTTCTCCTCCTGCCCACAATCTTTGCCAGCATCAGGGTCTTTTCCAATGAGATGGCTCTTTGCATCAGGTGGCCAAAATATTGAAGCTTTAGCGTCAGCATCAGTCCTTCCAATGAATATTCAGGGTTGAATTCCTTTAGGATGGACTGGTTGGATCTCCTTGCAGTCCAAGGGATTCTCAAGTGTCTTCTCCAGCACCACAATCTAAAAGCATCAATTCTTTGGTGCTCAGCTTTCTTTATGACCCAACTCTCACATCCACACATGACTACTTGAAAGAACATAGCTTTTACTGTATGAACCCATGGTGAGTTGGACACATGCAAACACTTGCCATGCCATGACCACAGTCAAGATAATATACAGCCAACACTTCCCAGTTTCCTTGTATCCCATTCTTCTCCCTTTGTGGTTAGAACACAACATGAGATCTATCTATACTCTAAATAAAGTTTGAAGTGCACAGTTCTATACAACTAGCAATTATAGGCACACTGTTATATAGCAGATCTCCAGAACAAATTCATCTAGTTTAACTGAAATTTTTATATCCATTGAACAAATCCTCATTTAATATCAAAAATGGCAAATAGATGGGGAAACAAACAGTGGAAAAAGTGACTCACTTTATTTTTCTGGGCTCCAAAATCACCGCAGATGGTGACTGCAGCCATGAAATTAAAAGACACTTACTCCTTGGAAGAAAAGTTATGATCAACCTAGACAGCATATTAAAAGGCAGAGACATTACTTTGCTGACAAGGGTCTGTCTAGTCAAGGCTATGGTTTTTCCAGTGGTCATGTATGGATGCAAGAGTTGGACTATAAAGAAAGCTGAGCACTGAAGAATTGATGCTTTTGAACTATGGTGTTGGAGAAGACTCTTGAGAGAGAGTTCCTTGGACTACAAGGAGATTCAGTCAGTCCTGGGTGTTCATTGGAAGGACTGATGCTGAAGCTGAAACTCCAATACTTTGGCGAAGAGCTGACTCATTTGAAAAGACCCTGATGCTGGGAAAGATTGAGGGCAGGAGGAGAAGGGGATGACAGAGGATGAGATGCTTGGATGGCATCACTGACTCAATGGACATGGGTTTGGGTAAACTCCGGGAGTTGGTGATGGACAGGGAGGCTTGGTGTGCTGCGGATCGTGGGGTCGCAAAGAGTCGGACATGACTGAGCAACTGAACTGAACTGAACTGAACTGAATGGAATGGGAGAAAATACTTGGAAACTGTACGTCTGATATGCCTTTTTTTCTCGACTCTTTAAAATTCTTGTTCTGTGGAATTGATTGATTGAGTAAAAAATTTGATTGGAAGGGCAAAAAAATTAAATCCTCACATATTACTGTAAACTCACAAAGATAGCAGAGATTTGCTACTTAATTCAATCTTGTAGGATTCAATATCAAAGATAAATTGAACCGATAACTTTATTTAGCTTACTAAAGTGAAGATAGGAGTTTGGAATGATTATGACTGGTGGAGTAACAAAATAGTTTGAGGTCCAGTTCCAGTTCAACTAAATTGCCATTTCAAATCAATTTCCTGGTTTCATTTTAATTAAGTTTGATTCACCACATGGAGTTTCCACCATATGCACTTTGCAATGAGCCAGAGTAAATTCCAAAAGGAGCCAACACATTTTAGCTGTTATAGTTCAAGCTCAATAGAAACATTTTTCCTTTTTATAAAAGTTTCTCATGCCTGAGTGCACTTTGTGTAATTAGCTAACTGGAAATTATCATCTTTTACTTATTTTAATGAAATTAAAAAATTCAAATAATCTGCTTTCATATGTCTTCTCAATCTTTTTACATTTTTCTTAGCGATTCTTAAATTTTTCTGATAATTTTCCTTTTTAAATCAAGAATCAGTTCTAATGAGATGGATGAAACTGGAGCCCATTATACAGAGCGAAGTAAGCCAGAAAGATAAAGACCATTACTATATACTAACACATATATATATGGAATTTAGAAAGATGGTAATGATAACCCTATATGCAAAACAGAAAAAGAGACTCAGATATATAGAACAGACTTGTGGACTCTGGGAGAAGGCGAGGGTGGGATGTTTCAAGAGAACAGCATCGAAACATGTATATTATCTAGGGTGAAACAGATCACCAGCCCAGGTTGGGTGCATGAGACAAGTGCTCGGGCCTGGTGCACTGGGAAGACCCAGAGGGATCGGGTGGAGAGGGAGGTGGGAGGAGGGACCAGGATGGGGAATACATGTAAATCCATGGCTAATTCATTTCAATGTATGACAAAAACTACTGCAATGATGTAAAGTAATTAGCCTCCAACTAATAAAAATAAATGGAAAAAAAAAAGAGCAGGATTTTTATGTTTGTTAGTAACTGAGGGAAGCTGCCTTAAAAAATGAGAATTTTAGAAGCTTTTATCTATAATCTCATGTTTTACTTTATTAATTATCAAAAATGAATAATTTATGAGATATAACACTGGGATTTTCTCCCTTTTAATATAGGGCTGTGGTTTCTTTATAGTAAATATATGGTTATTGTGAGTTACACATATATTGTTCGCTGAAGAGTGTCATATATTTTTTCTTTAAATTATTTTTTAAAATAATTTTGTTTATTTATTTTTTATTTTTTCTCCAGTTGCGGTGTGCAGGCTTCTCACTGCAGTGGTTTCTCAGGTTGCAGAGCCATGCAGGCTTCAGTGAGTGCAGTCCCCGGGCCCGAGAACACAGGGCCCGTAGTTGTGGCGCGTGGGCTTAGCTGTTCCGCGGCGCTGGGATCTTCCAGACCAGGGAGTGAATCTGTCTCCTGCATTGGCAGATGAATTCTTTACCACTGGGCCACCAAGGAAGCCCTAAATTCTTTTTTTTTTAAATTTATTTTTAAAATTGAAATATGGTTGATTTACAATGTTGTTTTAATTTCTGCAGGACAGCAAAGTGGCTCAGTTATGCACACACATGTATTCTTTCTTATATTCTTTTCCATTATGTTAGTTGCTCAGTCATGTCTGACTCTTTGTGACCCCATGGACTGTAGCCCGCCAAGCTCCTCTGTCCATGGAATTTTCTAGGCAAGAATACTGGAGTGGGTAGCCATTCCTTTCTCCAGAGTATCTTCTGGACCCGGGGATCGGATCCAGGGATTGAACCGAGGTTCTCCTGCATTGGGAGGCAGATTCTTTACCACTGAGCCACCTAGTTCCCTAGATGTTATGTAACATTTAAATTAACATATTTGTCCACCAATTTACTCAAATAAAAGAATTTCTAAGTGTCATATGTCATGTGTAGTTTTAAAAAACTTGAAAATCTAAGAATTTATGCTTAATAAAACTTGTGTAGGAAATCACCCTACACACAAACATAAACAATCTGATAAAATCAAGTTGCTTCCACAAACCTAGAGTGCAAACAGATACCTTGGAATCAAAATCATTGATACTTTCTGTTTTTTTCTTTTTTACTTCAACCCAAAAGAGAATTTTTAATGTTTGGAACTAAAACAACACATACATGTACATGGAACTGTGCTTCTCTTAGTATATCTTTAAAAGTATATCTTTAAACTATGAAGAATCTCCATAAATTTGAAAAAGGTCATTTTGTTTCATTCACACTTTCATGAACTGTGTTTTCATTATAAAAATATCCTGTAAATTTCCATTCATATAAAATTAAATATGTGGTAAAGAACCTGCCTGCCAGTGCAAGAGACGTAAGAGACATAGTTTTGATCCCTGGGTCTGGAAAATCCCCTGGAAGAGGGCATCGCAAACTACTTGAGTATTCTTACCTGGAGAATTCCATGGACAGAGGGGCCTCCTGGGCCACAGTCCATAGGATTGCGAAGAGTCAGACACGACTGGAGCAATTTAGTATGCACACATGCTTGCATATATAATTACACTAGCCCAGATGGGGTGGGGTGTTAATATTTATATTTAATTTTAAAGTAAGTTTTAATGCACTTATAGAAGGACTGGAAGTTTTCAGGAATGATTACAGCATATGCAAATCATTGTGATACATACAGCACATCAATAAAAGACAACAACCACATAATCATCTCAAAAGATGCAGAAAAAGCACTTGATAAAATTCAACATCCAACCATGAGAAAAATTCTTACCAAACTGGGCATCCAAGGAACATATCTCAACATAATAAAGTCTATTTATGACAAACCTGCAGTCTACTAATACTCAATGGTGAAAGGCTGAAATACTTAAATTCTGCAAGAAAAGGTAGACTTCACAATTCACGTGTAAGCCTAGGAGCCAGACGTCCACTGGGGGGCAGAAGTGCATCAGGAACGCTCACAGGCAGCCCAGCCCTTGAACTCAGGGTGACGCCTCGCTAAGGGAACATGCTGAGGCTCCCAGGGAGGACGATTCTGGCCGGGGACTGTCTCCAGCTGTGCCCCGTGTGGGCGCCGAGCCCTGGCCTGGGTCACCCGCCTGCTCTCCCTCGTGGCCAAAGGGTACATCCACCGGCAGCTGGGAGAGGCAGGCCCCCCCGCCTTGGGCTTTCTCAGAGAGAAGCCGAGATGCCCGAGTCTTAACATTTTGATACCGCTGGTCCCCTGGTGAGTTCAAGGACCCAAGTCTCCTTGAGGCTCCTTGTTTTGTTAGTACTAACTTCACAACTGAAGTTTCTTGTTTTACTCAGTCATTTAAAGGAGGGTGAAGAAACACCCTGACAAGTTGCTTTTGTTTGTCCTACTTTGAAATAGAAGGGAAAAACCAGGCAGGGGCATAATATAGCTTTTAAGAGAACACGGAGACGGCATTCACCCCATTCCCCTACTGAAAATACTCCTTACGTGTAAGATGATAAACCGTGGTGAAGTCATGGTTTATATTCTTGGCATTAAGGAAGGAATGGCGATTAAATCAGTGTTGCTGCCAAGCTATGGGCTAACTTGTGGTAACTTGTCTAGAAGCCAGAATAGGCACAAGAAGTGACCATCTCTAAAGCAGGACTCTCCTAGTATGGTGTGCTAGGGGATCTCTGGGGATCTTGCTGAAATGTGGATTCAGAATCAGTGGACATGCCTGTGATTAAGCTATGGTTTCGCAACTCCAAACCTGTCCAGCCAAGCTCGGCTTTGGGAGGCTGGGCTGGACTCGTGCTTTGCCTACTGGGCGCGAGCTAGGCTTCTTCAGTAGGGGGCGCTAGAGGGAGCTTGCCAAACCAGATGGGGAGCAGGGGCCTGTCTCGTTCGGCTCCTGTGGGCATCGTGGGCATCGCCCTGCCATGATTCCTCCGTCTGCAGCAGCGGCAGCTCTTTCCTGTTGCACCAACTTCTGGTTTCCAGGTCTGACCACGCTTTCGCCATGAACTTCGTTATGCCCTTCAGGGACACCAGCGCTAGCCAAGCAGCTCGCCTGTCATAGTCCAACGTCTTTCCTTTGTTGTATTCCTACTTTCTGTGGTTGCTGTTTTCCTAATTTGTTGGAGTTCTATTTTTACTCTTTCAATTACCTAGTTAATAGCTTATACTTAGTTAACAATGCTTTGTATGAAATGCTCACTGTTCAAATAACGGGTGTGGTTTCTTTCGGGTTCCTGCCTGGACTCTGATACAGGAGGGTTGGGGCAGGGCCTGAGATTTTGCGTTTCTCACAAGCTTCAAGGTGATGCCCAGCTGCTGGGTCCACTGACCACAGTATCAGGAGCAAGCAGCTACTAATCAAAAGTGGTTCTCAAACTTTGGCCTCACGTTCGAATTCCGGCCGCACATTTCCGGGAGCTTTAGGAAATGGCAGATGACTAGATGCCACCCCAGTGAGTCAGATTTAGTTGGTCTGAGGCGTGGCCTAAGCACTGGGTTTTCAGAAGTCTTCCGAATTGATTCTAATATGCAGCCAAAGTTGAGGACCTCTGCTTTAGAGTAGTGGTTCTTTTCTTACAGTTGTTGTTGTTGGTCGTGGGGGAGGGGGTGACTTTATTGGGGGGTGGGGCTGAGGATGCTCTGAAGATCCTCTGATGCACAGACACTCCCCAAACAAAGGATGATTTCACTCGTATATTAATAGCGCCAAGGTTGAGAAACCCTGGTGGAGAAGATGTGGCAAGATCAGCCCAGTTCATCTTTATCTGTTTTCTGTTTACTTACTCATTCAAATATACTGATGGAGCATCTACTGTGGGATTTCCTAGATGTTGGAGACTACAAAAAATTTGAGAGCAAGGTATTCTCAGACAACCACAGAAGAGAGAAAATAGTCCCATCTTGTGCTTGTTAGGTGAAGAAGCAGGCTTTGTGTGTGTGTGTTTTTTTTTTTTTTTTAGGTCCTGGAAGTTAACTGTAAGGGCTTTCCTCATCGCTCAGTTGGTAAAGAATCCACCTGCAATGCAGGAGACCCCAGTTTGGTTCCTGGGTCAGGAAAATCTGCTGGAGAAGGGATAGCTACCCACTCCAGTTTTCTTGGGCTTTCCTTGTGGCTCAGCTGGTAAAGAATCTGCCTGCAATGTGGGAGACCTGGGTTCAGTCCCTGGGTTGGGCAGATCCCCTGGAGAAGGGAAAGACCACCCACTCCAGTATTATGGCCTGGAAAATTCCATGGACTGTATTGTCCATGGGGTCGCAAAGAGTCAGACACGACTGAGCAACCTTCACTTTCACTTCACTTTCAAGTTAACTATAGTGCAAGACTTGGTAGTATGTGTACAATCTGCAGATTCTCCCAGAACCTTGCTTTGTCCCACTGTGTATTGTTGGCAAGCATTCTAGTGTCACTATCAAGAATGACAGTTCAAAAAAAGAAGCAGATTAGCAGATATAGAGAACAAAGTAGTGATTACCAGTGGGGGGAGGGGATTGGGGGGAGGGGATGAAGACCTACAAACTATTAGGTATAAAACAAGCTACAAGGATATATTGTGTAACATGGGATAAAAAAAAAATATATATATACATACAAAAATATAAATCTATATATAAAATAAAAATAGATAAATATATTAAATATAGACAATATTTTCAATAAATATAAATACAGTATAATCAAAAAATTTTGTGAATCACTATATTGTACACTAGTAACTTATACAGTATTGTACATTGACTCTACTTCAGTAACAAAGAATGACAGTAGAAAGTGGAAGGAAAGCTGATCAGTTTCTATGAGCCTCCTTTTAGCTGCTAGTGTAGTTGTCAATTCATATCCTTGAGAATTGAGGAACTGGTTAGCTTCAGGGAGAATGAATGAAGACATCCTAATAATGAACAGTTTCCACTGGTGGCACCTCTACCATTAATGTGTGCCAGGTGCTTTGTTAGGCACTCTAGATATCATGTTTAATCCTTTGAGGGAAGTTTTGTTAACTCTATTGTCAAGTTAGTGGGATCAAGACTTGGAGACCATCAATAACATGCCAATGCTCCATAGCTTATGAAGAGTGGAGTTTGTGTCACTTCAGAAAATGATATCCATCCATATATTCCATTAAGAATACTAAGGATTTTCATCCAAGCAACAGTGCTGTGTCAATTGCAGTGGCACCAGCACTGTGATGTCAATGTTGGAGCTTTAACAGGATTGCTCGCCAACACCCACAATGCCCTGCATCCCTGTACTGCATCACTACCCACAATGCCCTGCATCCCTGTACTGCATCACTACCCACAATGCCCTGCATCCCTGTACTGCATCACTACCCACAATGCTCTGCCTCCCTGTACTGCACCCTTACCCATAATGCCCTGCATCATTACCCGCAGTGTTGTCAGCATGGGTTTC